GTGCGGCCGTGGGTGGGGACCCCTGAGGGGCCGCGGAACGCGCGTGGGGCGTGTCGAAGTGGAGCTGCTGCGCCATGCTAGCGTTCCCACTGCGGCCTTATGCGGAGCCCCCCCCCCCCCCCTATGGGGGCGCGAAGCGTTTGAGGGGCACGCCGAAACAGACAGATACACGCGGATTGCGCGGCGCGGGCAAGGATGGGAGGAGAGGAGGGGGGGGGGAGTGAGGAACGCGGGGCGCTGTCTCTTCAAAACGAGGGCCCGACTCCGCGGGATGGCTGGGGAAAGAGCACGCGACGTCACAGTTGGTCGCCGCGGTCTCGCGCGGGAATGTATATCACCCAAAACGCCACCCACGTGCCCTTAGGACGATCTGCGTTTGGCTAAGACGACGCGTTCGCCCACGTGGCACCCCAGCGGGCGCCCGCGCGGGCCCGCGCAGGGCCCCGCGGGGGGAACTGTTGGAATGCAGCGGGTGTCTTTCCAGAGCTCCAAAGTCCAGCGGGTGCGCCGTTGCGTTCGGGCGGTTGGCGGCGCGCTCGGTGCGGCGTCTAGCTGGGCACCCGCGAAAGCGCGGGTTTCACCTTGTGCGCGCGGCGAACATGTCGGGCCCATCCAGGGGCCAGGCAGGGCGTGGGGCCGTGCCCGCAGAGAGGCGATTGGGCTGGTTTCGGGCGTGCAACGGCGCGCGCGGCGCGGCGCCTCGCCCGGGCTATATGGGGCATTGGGCGCGTCGCGGCGCGCGCGGCGCAGCGCCTTCGATTTGCCATGATGGGGGCGCGCGCGTTCGTTGGCGCCCGCGGCGCGCGCCCCGCTCTGATCTCGGATCGGAAGCATCGGCTCGCCACCGCCGCCCAAACTCCGAAGATGCACGCTTGGAAGGGGTGGCGGGCAGACGCAAGTCGGAGTCCCACCAGCCCTCTGGGCGTATGTGGTTTAGCGAGTGGTGCGTCTCTCTGCCAAAACCTCCTTCCCTTGTTCGGGGGGGGCGGGGGGGAGGGGGTGCACCGCTCCCCCTACCCCCTGCCCTGGATCTGGGAGGGGGAGGGGGGAGGGGGCCCGACGCATTAGAGCGCCCAATATGACCCAAGGTTGCTCCAAGGGTGCCCCAGAAGATAGCCCAAGATGGCTTCCAAGATGGCCCAATATAGCTCAAGGTGGCCCAAGATAGCTTTCGACGCACATCCAAGATGCTTCGAGACGGCCCTGGGAGGGTTTCCAATGTCTTTCGCGTCCTTCAATTGCCCTCCCAAGAGGCCCGCATGATTCCAAAACCTAGGGACAACCAATGCTGCTTGCCTTCTCGCACGTTCGCCTCCGACGTGCTCTCAAGGCGCCAATAAGCCGCGACATTGCCCCAGGGAGCCCAAGGTGCCCAAGGCTGCCCAAGGCGCCCCCCCCCCCCACCCCACCCCACCACGCACGCACGGGCGCCCAAGAACGCCCCAAGAAAAGCTGCAACAGTCGGCCCCAATGCGCTTCTGTGGGTTTCCAAGGGGGCGGTCCGAATTAACGCAGCCCTCTTGCGTTTCAGCCGCAGCCCCCAATATGGCCCGACGAGCCCCCCCCAGACGCCCAGAAATAGCCCCAAGAGGGCCCAGGGGCCCACACAAAAACAAGCCCCAAGAGGGCCCACGAGGGCCCCAAAAGAACACCCAGAGCGCCCCACGGCGGCTACACAAGGCATCCGAGACAACGCTCCCGAGGCGGTTGTTGCACACCCTGCTGGCCACCAACACCGCCAGCACCAGCAGCAGCACCACCAGCACCACCAGCAACATCAGCACCACGCCAAACACCAGCAACAGCATCCGCAACAACACCAACAGCAACGTCAGCAGCATCACCAGCAGCACGGGAACCAGCAACACCAGCCGCAACATCAGCAGCACCAGCAGCAGCAGCAGCATCAGCGACAGCCCAACCACGACCAGCAATAGCACCAGCAGCAGCATCAGCATCACCAGCAGCGCAAGCACAGCAGCAACAGCAGCACCACCAGCAGCAGCAACAGCACGAGCAGCAGCACCAGACGGATCGGTCCCGAGCTTGACCCATCGAGGTGACCGCGGGTTGGTCCCAAGTTTTACCCCCCGAGGTGACCACATATCGGTCCTGAGCTTTACCCCCCGCGGTGACCACGGATCGGCCCCGAGTTGTACCACTCGAGGTGGCCACGGATCGGTCCCGAACGTTACCCCTCGAAGTGGCCACGGACCCATCCCGAGCTTTACCACACGAAGTGGCTTCGATTCGGTCCCGAGCGTTACCCGCCGAGGTGACCACAGATCCGTCCCGAGCTTTTTACCCCTCGAGGTGACCTCGGATGGGCCCCGAGCTGTACCCCTCGAGGTGACCTTGGATCGGTCCCGAACGTTGCCCACCGATGTGCCAGGATGGCCCCAAGATGCGGGTGAAGCACCCGCAGCAACCGGACAGCACCGACAACAGCACCACCAGCATCACAAACATAACCAGCAACAGCACAAGCGGCACCCCAGCATAATGAGAAACCGCGCAAGCCAGCCAACAACACCAGCAGCGGCACCAGCAGCGGCGCCACCAGCACCATGAGCAACACCACCAGCACCACCGCCAGCAGAAGCACCGCCAATCTGCGCTTCCAGGGCTCTCCCACTGTACTGCTGTGGCCCGTGATACCGCCGTGGCATGGGAAACTATATTAAGTCACAAACTGTATGTTCCAGCTGGTTTTGCGCCCCTTCAGCGCGCCTCCGAAACGGCTGTGTGACTGCGTCCTTCCAAGAATCATTGGCTAACCAACTCACTTGGCAATCGTTTCTGGGTGGGCTGGTGGGGGCACGCGAAGCGTCAACATGTTTTGCCATGTCTCATGAGGGGCCCCTTGGGCCTTGGGGCAAGATTGGAGGCCTCTTGGGATGTCCTTGTGGGGCACCCTGGCGGCCTCTTAGGCCGTCGCACGGCAACCATGCGCCATTTTGGGTCTCGTTCGGGCCGTTCCCAGGCCCTCCTGAAGAACATCTTGGGTCGGATTGGCTGCGCCTGCGGCCGTATTGCGGCCAGATTGGGTTTTCGTGAGCACCGTGGGCCTTCATGGGCCGCTTGTCCTAGTCGAGCCGACGCTTCTCTGAGCCCGTCGGGTGTCACTAGTCAACTCCTGGTGCAATCACTGGTATGGTAATGCGGTTAGCAGCGCAGGCATTGATTGGGTGGTACAGCTAGCGGTCGCATAACTCGGACCCGCCGCAGCGCCTATATGGGCGCCGAGGCGTGTTGGACAGGCTCCGATGCCCCTCCCTGGCGGACCCGACCCCAGACGCCCTGCAACGGCCTCAAGACGACCCGCCGCGCCCCCAGACATGCCCCCACGACGGCCGTCACGGCCGCCACTCTGGCCCAGGAAGGCCGCGGCTCCCCCTGCCCCCACCCCGCACCCCCGAGGACGACACCTCTGCGTTGTAAGTCCCGCGGCGGGGGCGACGTCGGATCACCGTGAGGTGCAGATCAAAAAAACAATGGCGCCCAGCAGCCCTCTCGCGCAAATGCAACAGAAAATATCAACGTCAAGCAAACATCATACTTCACCAACGTGGCGTGAAACACATGTGTTTTCAAGGGCGTGTGACACGCAACTCAGTACACGGATATGTTTATTTCTCTGGCTCGGACTCTTCGTCATCCCGTTGCTGGCGCTCCTGCTCGAAGATGTCCTCGGACCCTGCGAGCCCTCTGAGGATATCCCTGCCGTGCCTCCTGGTAGCATGGTCGATCGTCTTATACAAGTTCTTGTGGTCCCAGGCGTCGCTGCACTCGTCAGCCGAGAGCAGCCAGGCCATGAGGTAGCCCAACGGCCTGCCTTGACCCTGCGCCCGCTTGGTCGCCCCCTTGCCACGGCGAGACACTCGGCACCGTCTCCCGTGTGCTTCACACTCGCCGCAGTACGCATAGATCTCGTTGTTCTTATAGGCGACGATAGAGCCGCCTCCAAGATGACCAGGCAGCCTGAAACTACACACGGCCTGTTCTCGCAGGTGTGGCGGATGCTCGACGCCGAGGTCGGGGGGCTCGTCGGCGCCAGCGTCCTCCGACGAACTCGAACTCGCCGTAGACGAGCTGTCAGACGACAGCTGCTCTCGACTGCCGTCGGAGCCATCCACCGCGGCCTCGACGATGGCCTGCTCCTCCTCGACGCCCGAGGCCCCCACCTCGCCGCCGCCGCCGTCAGCAGAGCCGCCGCCCTCAGTGGCAGCGTCGCCCCCATCCGAGTCGCCCCCACCGCCATCGTCGGAGCTCTCGTCGCACGCGGCCTTGAAGCGGTCGGCCAGAGCGTGCCACTGGCTGATCCGTCGACGCCTCGGCGCGGCGGGGTCCCAGATGACATGCGTCTCGCCGTCGTGGACGGCTCTCCTGGGGGAAGGAAACGCGCGGAGTGGCTGACGCGCCCGTCCGCTCACCCCCTGACGGTGCTGACGCCTAGGGGGGCGTTCAGTTTTTCGAGTCGCGCCCGGCCGACGATGCACCGTGGACCGATTGATCGGCGGCGAGGGGTTGGACGGGCTACGCATGGGTAGTGCACAGCCAAGTTACCGAATGGAATTAGCAACGCCAGCCAGCGCGATGTCCTGGGCCATCGGGGGGCCCTGTCCAGAACCGCCCTCCGCCTCCAACGCCGCTGGGTGCCATCGTCGGGCCGAGACCCCCAGGAACACTTCGAGCAAACCAAGAGTTGCGCCCTTCTCACGCCCGCTGAAAAAAAAAGAATCCGAACAGAAACACTGCCTCCCAGATGGCATCCAGACGCGCCCCGAGGCCCCGAGGAGGCCGTTGACCATCCGATACTCCTGCAAGACATCCCCACCATCGCCAGGACCCCAAACACTGACGGTGCAAGCACTGATTGGGGCATTCAGCGGCGTGTGGCGGTGAGAGAACCACCGCTGCAAGCAGAGGGAAGGTGAGGGCGTGCCCCCCTGACATGCATTAACAGCCCGTGTTGTCCCCTTCTGCAGTCGGGGCTCCACGGCGCCCACGACGGTGTCGTTCTCGATCAGCTCGAAGTGCGCCAGCAGCCAACGCTTCGACAAGTCGAAGATCTCGCAAGCAGCCCACGCATCAAGACTCCTAGGCAACGCCTCCAACTCCACCAAGCGTTCTCTGAACTTCTGGTCGCCGTCCAAGTCGACGACGTACCCTGGCGTCCGCATGGGGGCGTAGAAGGGCTCGAACGGGCTCCAGCTGTGAAAGCCGACGTGCATGAACGCGTAGAGGGCACCGTCGTCGCACTCGGCAGCGGGGCCGCCATCCCCATCTTGCCGAACAGCCAAGCCGATGAAACAGCACACGATGAACCCTGAATCAACGTTGGACCGAAGAGCTCCAGGGCGGTATAAGCGCCGCGTGGTCTTCTCGAGGTTAGCCCTCAACTTTACCAGCGACGCCGACTCAGGGCAGCATATGCAACGGCGAGCCTCCCAGCACCTCCTGTGGACAGGTGGCTCGTCGAACACCTCGCAGTCCTTGTGCAATATTGTGCGGGACAGCCCATGCCAGAAGCGATGCAAGAGACCTCGCAACGCGCGCGCTGGGCGGGTCTGCCCCGTCAGCGCAGCGAGTCGCTGCGCCCGCTGGTAGACGGAGTCGTCGGCCCACTCGGCGTGCAAGAAATTCGGGGCGCCTTCCTCGGACTGAGCGTTCCTCGGGTCGGCAACGAATAAGCTGGCGTCAGCGGCATGCGGCGCCACGCCTGCAAGGGCGTCTGCGCTCGGCCCGGCGGCCAACGCACCCGGCGGGGCAGCCGCAGCAACGGCAGCGAGGGTGCGCCCATGGGCCTCCAGGGCGCGGTGCAGGGGAGCAGGCTGACCAACTCTGTCATCGGCGAGCTGAGCGCGGACGTGCATCGCGGCAACTGCCTCTGCGTCGGCGCGGGCCCTGGCCCGCTGCATCTCGCGCCGACCCATCGGAAAAGGCCTCCTCCCCTCGTTGACCTCAGCGTTGGCCTCATCCGCCTGCCGCTGGAGCTCGTCGATGTCGCCGTCGCCCAGCCTGCGGAACTTCGCCCACATCCCCGAGAAGCTGGGCTGCGCGTTGCCTTCCTGCCCGCACTCACGACTGAAGAAGACGCCGGCAGCCCGCAGCTTCCGCCTCCGCGGGGCGCTCGGGGCGCCAGCGGCGCGGGCTTGTTGCTGGCATGGCTGGTCGGCCGCAAGGCTGCTTGAGCTGGGTGTCCGAAGCTGCCGAAAGGCCCTCGCCAGCCTGCGGAACCCTTGGCCGATCCATTCGACGTTGATGCGGGAAAGGCTGGCAACCCACGTGTTGACCGATCGTGAGGCGATGATGCGTCGCAAGACGCCTTGGCCCCACTCCTGCTTCACTGTGTCCTCATGGAGCAAGCTAGCCACGTGCATCAAGTCATGCCGCGCGTCTGCGATGACCCCGTGCCTGTGGTGCCTGCAGAACTGCAGCGACCAGGGGTCGAGCAAGCAATCCTTCTCGTCGAGAGCCGCCTGCATGGCATCGTCGCTGCGGATACCAGCAAACGTTTTATTCGGATACCATGTTTTCTCCAACTTGATAAGTGATGTCGTGCAGACGGCCTGAGATAGCAAGCGGCACGCAGTGCACTGCAACCTCAGAGTCCTGCATCGCAGCGGGATGCTCTCCCAATGAGCGGAGTCTGACATCAGAAAGAAAGCGTTGTCAACCAGACGAGTCTCCAACTCCACATCGTAAGCCTCCAGAACTTGATACATGAAGGTGCGGCCATGGTTGCCCTTCAACGCCTGGGATGCTGACGCTTTCTGTTTTAACTTCTTATGGTCACCACAAGAGTAGATCAGCCCACCGATGAAATCGCGGTGCAAGTTCATTGTTCTCAGCACGACGACGGCAGTGGATAGGACTTCATCTGGGCCAATAGTAGCTAAGTGCTTCGTGACGGTACCCCTATGGCTCTTCTGTTCGAGCTTTTTCGACTCTTCCTGCGCTGCGACGGTGAGATGCGGCACGCTCATGCCTGCTGGGTTCGAGTCCAGGACCGCTTGGAGCGCGCCCTTGCCGTCTAGGTCAACTCTCGGATGTGCGCCCTTCTTCTCGCTGGGATAATACACGGCAATCCACTTGCTCCATGCGTCGGCAAATATTCCCAAGCCCTGCAAAAGAATGAAATACTCCACTATCTCTTCGCACCCATTCCACTGGCGACAAGGAAACGAACGGGGTGCCCGCGGACATATGGCTGCGAGGAAATCGCGGGACAACAATTGCCGAACTCGTTCTTCAGATCTGCATCCGTTGGGGGAGTTCGCAACGTGAATGAGCCTGGAGCCGTCGATGCCGCCGTTGATCGTAGCCCATATGACGCTCCGCCCCCACACGTTCTTGCGGGTGCGGGGCGGCACCGCAAGGTCGAGGAGGTGCTCGAGGCGTTTCACATGCACTGGCAATCAGGCCCCCTCCGCCAGGTAAGTGAACCGACCAGGCGCAAGTATAAGTTTCTTAACCTCTCTCCGAAAAGTGTTGCTGTTGTAGGCCCTGCGCATCACAAGGACGAGATTGGTGTAGAACTCAATTTCTCTGGGCACTTTTTTCTTGAATGGCTCCTTCTTGCAATTTGACGCTCTATGGACGCAACGCAGCTTATGTAGCAAGTGCATGTCGGGGTAGACACATGAGCGGTGACGCTCAGCTCTGATGAACGCCCTGTCTCCGTCTGTGGTCGTGTTCCTCTGGTGGCGGGCGAACTTCTGAGCGATGCGGTCTGCGTCGGCCAGGCGGGTCTGGTGCAGCACGGCGTAATAACATTCTCCAGTTGTATTCGAAACCACTTGAACAGGGGTGCAGAGACTGAATGAGAAGCTGACGTATGAGGAAGGTTGGCCGCCGCTGCCCCGCTTCACAAACAACATGCCATAGTTCCATTCGGCGTTGACCAGTTTCGCCCTCTCGTCAGCATCGTCGGGCAAGTCGTTGCATATGTTGCCTTCGTCGTTCGACCCCGTGGCGCCCCTCGCAGGCAACTGGGTCTCATCTGAGCGAACGGCCTCTGTGAAGACCAGGCCTACGGCGCCCCCAGCAATACAAGTATCGTACACATGCTCCATCAATCTCACGACGGAGTGGCGGTCGTACAACACAGCAGCGGCAGCCGTTCTCTCTTCTACACTTTGAAACGCGTTCAAAGATATACCAAACATGTGTGCAGATGCAGAGGCTGACATCATAGTTGTTTTTTTTTCTATCAATACATACTCACCGATCTCCATGTGCGTCTGGTCCAACAAGCCGTCTAAACTTATGTTGTTGGCGATTGCATCGCCCACCTCTAACACCAGGCGTCTGAACGACTCTGCATCTGAAACCACGAAAGGGTTAATAGTGGCTGGAGCTGCGCCGCCGATGCTGTCCTCGGGTCCGCCGTCGACGGGGTCGACCTGGCTCTCGAGCTGCTGCGCCCCAGACCCTGGCGGCGCCAAGATGCCGCCGTGGTGTGTCATCACATCTGCGAGCACAGCGTTCACGGTTCTCCGACGTGGACGGCCGCACCCGCTTTGAGCGGGTGGGACCTCGACTATGGCATCCACGGGCGGGGCTTCGACGATCATGTCATCAGCAGCTATGGCGGCGGCGTCGGCGCCCTCGGGCGGGCCGTCCACGTCATCGTCGGTCGGAGATCCGAACAGTGACCAACCTGACAAGACTTCTGACGGGCCGCTGCTGCTCGACTCTCCGCCGAGATCTGAATCCAACAGTTGGCGACGCAGCTCCAGCCAGTCACCGCCCGTGCCACGCATCAAGGGCCCGAACCGCACTCACACATGAGTCAAGGCTGTGAAACAAACAAAAATGAAAGGCTTGTTTGAGCCAAAACGGTTACGGAAGCTCCCCCCGCCAAGGCTCTCCGAACAAGCCCCAGAGACACATTCGTAAAGTGCCCCGCACGTTCAATCCTATGGCGCTTCTGGTGGCCGCCATGAGTTCTTAACCTCGAATGGGCCCACGCAGATGAGATGGGGGGTGCGCCCGATACTCCTTCGCAATTCACTCTGTTATGACGCACCCGCTGGAGACAACCTCACAATTTGATCTGGGATTCGGCTCCCGCTCGAGACTGACGTCACCAGCACCAGCGAAAAACGCGCCAGGCACCCTACGGAGCGCGACGATACTTGTGAGAGGATGATGGCGGGGCCATCGTGAATGCATAAAAAGTATACAACGAAATGCCATACGGGTTCGGAGCGAACAGGAAGGGATAATATACACATTAGCACACGCATGTGGAGGACTCGCAGCCATGGTGGAGGACAACGCAAAGAAAGAGGAGGAGGAGAGGGAGGATATAGATGGTGGCGATGGTGATCACATGGATACCGCGAGTTTGGTTGTGGTTGCGGGGGGGGCGGGGTTTGGTTGCGGTCGCGGGGGGAGGCGGCAGCTGCGCCGATAGGGTCGCCGCAGCTGCGGCTGGCCCCATCGGCGCAGCTGCCGCCTCGTGGCACCTCTGCCCACGGGCATTTCGTGAGGGGCTATTTTTTGGGTTCGCTGTTTTGTAATCTGAATTCGTACATTTCGAATAAGATTTGCATAGTTTGGGCCTTTCTGCCCAGCGAGCTTACTGACGAGGCCGGGAAGTCTCAATCCTGGGCATTACCTTCAGCTCGCTGTGGGTCGTGCTCGTGATCCCGCGGTTCGCCAGCTGCGTAGGGCACGCTGTACGGTGCGACGCCCATCCATTCGATGTCGCTGTAGTCGTCCAAGCGGGCAAAGTCCTCCGTCGCATCGCTCTCAGTGTTCTCCAGCAGGAGCGTGTGTTCTGCATCAGCAGCTGTCATCCTCGCGGCGGCGCGCACGGCTCACACGCTGGAGCATCGCCGTGCTGGTGCCGCGCCCGTGCGGGGAGATGCCATGGCTGCGCTCTCTGCTGGTTGCCTGAATACGGGGGGCGCGTCCGCTAAAGGCCGCTGCGCCTCCGAAGGCCTGAGCTCGCGGCGGCCTTCGACCACGACGACGACCACGAGGACGAGGACGAGGACGACGACCACGACGACGACCACGACGACGGCCTCGACGACGCCGACTTCTCGCGCGGCCGGGCCGGCGGGTTCGGTCGAGAGCAGGGCAGGCCCAGGCCTCCTCGCGTGGTGAAGAGCACAACGGATCGGTGTTGGCCATGTTCGGCCTCCTGTGGCCCTTGCAGGGCCCCGGCGCTGTCCGGAAGCAGCCCGGGATGAAAGGCCGTCCAGGGAAGTTCGCGCCGTGGGGAAACCAAGACGGCGCCCCCAGACCTACAGTCGGGACGTTGACCTAAGGAACCCTGAATAAGGAACGGGGCCCCTTTGTCCCATCAGTGAAGGCTTTCGATGTCCCATCGAAGACCTGAGGAAAACCTGAGGCAGGCTGTAAAGCAATCAAGGAACACGGAGCCCCTCCCCAACGAAAAGGGTTCCTTCTTCAGCGCCCCAGAGATCCGATGCCTTGATATGTTGAAGTCTCGACCCAGTCCCAGGGACCAGCTTTTCACCCTGAGCCGTTTTCTGACGGTCCCAGGGCCCAGCGAGGGCCTCTAGAGGTCGAGAATCCGCCGTCGTGATTGTTCAGTAGAGGCGTAGAGGCCTCCCACCTCCTCCTCCTCCTCCTCCTCCTCCTCCTCCTCCTCCTCCTTGTCCATATCCCTGTACCCAGAGACTGCGCCCGACCACCGCCTCCCGTTCCTCTTTGGCTGCGCGTGCGAGCGGTGCGGCTCGCGCGCGCGCGCCGCCCTTCCCGCGCCCACGGCCTGCCGCGGGCAGACACAGTCAGCACGTGCCTCCAGTCCAGGCTCAAGCTCAAAGTGCCCCGGCCATGCATGACGAAAGCACGTTTCCAAGACATGCCCGAGCTCTGTGCGCACGCGCCTTCGTGCCTCCTCCCGTTCCGCCCCCCTCCTCGCGGCGCGCCGCGAGGCGGGATTTGATAACTATCAGCGCCAGGATCGGCACGCACGCGCCGAGCAGCAGCCAGGGGTCTGCCTCCAGTTGCTCCATGTCCTTGAAGCCGAGGTAGAAGTCGCCGAGCTTCGATCCCAAGTCCGCCGCCGCGCACGCAGCGATTGGTGTGTGTGTGTGTTGTGTGTGCGTGTGTGTGCGTGTGTGTGTATGTGTGTGTGTGTGTGTGCGTGTGCGTGTGCGTGTGCGTGTGCGTGCGTGTGCGTGTGCGTGTGTTGTGTGGGTGTCGGCCCCTGGCTCTGACTCCATGCGTCCGCCCTCTGGCGGGCCGCTCTCTGGTTCTCGGGCCACTCTCCCTCCGTCCGCTCTCTCGGGCTTTGACTCCATCCGTCCGCCCTTTGGCGGGCCGCCCTCTGGTTCTCTGGACCCCAGCCCGGCTCTGGCCCTGGCCGCCCTCTTGCACGACTCATGGGGGCCATGTCTGCCTGCTGCCCCGGGTTGCCTGCCTGCTCCGTCCCCTGGATGGCGCGCTGGCGACGGGTGCGGTCGTGGCTCTTCGGGGGCGCGCAGACATGGACCAGCGATCCATGGCTTTGGCGCGCGGTCGCCAAATCCATGGATCGGGGGAAGTGCCCTCCCCAAAATGTGGCCGGTGCCGCTTCGTTCGGCGGCGGAATTTCGCGATTTCCCACGGAAACGGGACCCCGTCCCTAATCCCCGCCCCCTTGATCCATGTTTGCGATCGCCTGATCTGTTCCGTCCCCTTGACTGCGCGTTGGCGACATGTGCGGTCGTCCTTCTGGAACTCTGCACTGCCCTTGCAACCTGGCCTGTCCTTCGCACGACTTGCGTGCGCAGTCGCCTCGGAACTGCGACACCCGGCATTCCATGCACCTGCCGCACCGTTCCACTCGGGGGCGGCTAAGTCGGCGGTGGACAAACCTCCCTTTAAAAGACCTCCCCTTAGTGAAAACGGCCCGGGACCGAAACCGACGGACCTGGACCCGCAAAAGTGACGGCCGCAACGCCCCCTCGCGAGCCGAAAACGGCCAATTCCTTAATCGACGTGTCAGGGCAGGAGGTCTGTCCACCCCCGACTAGGAACGGGGCGTCCACGAGGGGGAGGCGCAAATCAGGGCGGGCGGCGCGTGCATGGCCCAGGGGGGGACTGGAGACGCCCTGAAACAAGAAGAGGCGCCATGAAATCCGGGGAGATCTCATGGCCCCCGCAAGGATATCCCACCCCCCTCTCTAGGCCGCCCCCGAGGTACGCAAGTTCGCCTTGGCACTCCGCGCTTGCTGCCTGTTTAGGCCTGCACTCCAGCACACACGAAGGGGCCCTGGGACACACAGATAAATGCACAACCAAATGACAGGATGCCCTGCGTTCTTCCATAATTCTGGATTGTCGTCTTCCCCCCCTTTGTCTATATTTTTCGTGGGTGAACAGACCTCACTTTAGTGAAACGTGGTTTAGTGACAACGACCTGAGGCCCAAACCTGGCGGGCGCAGGCCTGGAAACTAACGGCCGCGGCGCCCTCTCGAGAGCCGAAAACGGACAATCCACTAATCGACGTGTCACTTTTTGGGGTTCTGTCCGCCCCCGAAGTTTCCCAGGACTCGACGATTCACTGTGTCTTTGTGTCTTCTCCCCTCCAGCACACGCGCGAACAGCAAGCCCTTGAAGCCCTGTGCTCTTCCATACTTCTGGATGTTCGTCTTCCCCCCCTCTGTCCACCCCCGAATTGTCCCAGGAATCGACGGCTCATTGTGTCTGCGTGTCTTTCCCCCCCAGCACACGCGCGCGAACAGCAAGAGCTCTCCACGGCCCGAAACGTGCGCCGCGCCGCCCGCGGCCTCCTCCTCCCCCTCCCGCGCCCTGAGTAGGCTGCGTGCGTGTCCCCCGTTGCCCCGACCGCGTCCTGGGCCCCGGCTGCCGGCTGACAAAAGGCGTGCTGTGTGCGTGCGTGCGTGCGTGCGTGCGTGCGCGTGTCTGTGTGTGTGTGTGTGTCTGTGTGTGTGTGTGTCTGTGTGTGTGGGGGGGGTGAGCGTGAGCGTGTGTGGGTGAGCGTGTGTGTGTGTGTGTGTGTGTGTGTGGGTGAGCGTGTGTGAGTGTGTGTGTGTGTGTGTGCGTGCGTGCGTGCGTGTGTGTGTGTTTTCCCTGGCATTTTGCTCAGGGCTGCACGTTGTTGCTCGAGCTTCCCTGGGCGTTCCAGTTCTGCCAGCCAGCCCCCGCCCAACTGCCCCAGCCGCCTTGTGAGCTGGCCCGGCCGGCTTGTGCTGCGCCCAGTACCTAATTAGGCTTGCCCGTCGGCCCGGACACCCTGTTCGCCGCCTGCGCTCTTCGCTCGCGGCCACGACCAAACAAGTGTGTGTGTGTGTGTGTGTGTGTGTGTGTGTGTGTGTGTGTGTGTGTGTGTGTGTGTGTGTGTGTGTGTGTGTGTGTGTGTGTGTGTGTGTGTGTGTGTGTGTGGGGGGTAGGGGTACGTGCATGTGCGTCGTGTGCGTCGTGTCTGGTGCGTGGTTTGGCGTGCTGCGTGTTGCATGTGCATCTGTTGTTCGTCTCTCTGCGTGTGGGTTGTGCGTGCGTTTTCTGATGGCGTGCCAACGTTGTGTGTGTGTGTGTGTGCGTGGGGGGGTCGCCCTGGCTTTTTTCGCCAGTTTCGCTTCTGCAGCGCACAGGGCCGCCCTACGCCTTGAGCCCAACAAGCACTCATGTTTTGCACGATCCCCGGATTTGCTCTCGGCGGTGGACAAACCTCCCTTTAGCAAACCTCCCCTTAGTGAAAACGGCCTGGGACCGAAACCGACGGACATGGACCCGCAGAAGTGACGGCCGCGACGCCCCCTCGCGAACCGACAACGG